AAGTCTGTTTCATAATTTTAGGTGCTTATATAGAGGTGTGACTATATAGGGTGTGATTATATAGAGGTCCGACTGTACCTCCCAGGTACTATTCAAAGAATCAAGCCAGAAGGATAGTGAATAATACCCGAGTCTTAATAAAGGGTATATTATTTTTAAGGATACTGTATACAGTGGCGAACAGTAATTAGGATTCAAAATTAGATATACAATATTGTAAATAGTTGTATATAAGATCTGATTTTTACTTTTTACTAATCGTAAGTTTAATTGTATAGAAATTATTATTACCAATATGACTATTTACAGTGATAAAATTCAAATAATTATGATTTTTTAAAAAAAATTATTTGTAATTCAGTATTTCAATTTCGAATGCCATTTTAATTTTAGAGTTATTTGATTTAATTAAGAATAATAATATATCGTACTAGTAATAATTTTTATTAAAATTTTTTTTAATTTATTAATTTAACAGGTTTCTCCAAATACAATAATATCTGCTAAAATGCATGCTCGAGTAAATGGTTATGGATGTCCACCTCTTTTTAAACCACCAATGAGACGACATATTATTACTAATGAACAAGAGGCACAATTTGAAGTATTTATAGCAGACAAGACAAATGTTAATATGAGTTCCTATAAAATTCATAATAAAACTGGATTACCATTACTTTATCTTAATAATTACAAGGAGGCATTATAGCAAAAATTTCATATACAATATCCAAATGGAATAGGGCGTACAACATTTTTTAATAAATTACGTAATAGTCCATTCATATATCGTGAAGATTTAGGAGGTCTATGTTTGACTTGTAATCAATATGGGTTTGAAATGTTTCATGAATTATCAAACTATATAATAAAAGAAGTAGAAAATAATGAAAAAAAGGTAATTCTATTATTACTATAACTCCTCAAGTATAATCACCCAAATTATTCATGTAAAAATATGATCTCTATTTAGCATTATATGAATTTTTAGGTGGTTTTATTATGAAAATTATTATATTAAATTATGTACGTAGTATATATTTAATCTCTATATGTAACTAATTTGAGTAGTTATTCTTGGTTCGCCTTATTACTATATTCTGTTATACGTAAATGTCCAATTAACTATATTTAATATTAGGCATATTATATTCAAAAAATTGAAATAGTTCAACGATTTTTAAGACGTGAATATTGCAATCATCTAAAAGTATCTTTAACTGGTCACGTAGAACATGATATTTGCATTAATCATTGCTTACCTTATGCTTTCAGACAATGTAATCAAAAACACATAATAGAATGTGAAAAATGTTCTGAATTGTTTATTTTATTTAATCAAATCAAAACTGAACTACCTCATTCTTTTCTAACAATTGATGAATTACAAAAATAGGCAGAGTTTTACCTTTCACATCAAACTAGAAAAATATATTTGAATCATCAGTTTAATGCAAATTTGTTAGAATTAGATGAATATGGAGCAATAATCATTGTCGATTATAAAATAAAAATCTTACCTAAAAGATCTCGAGAAACAAAAGAAGATTTTTATGGAAAACGTGAGTGGGCATTGCATACAGTCTTAGTTTTTACAAAACAAAATAATAGTCAAGAACTTAATATCCATGCGTACGATCATTGGTCATCTGATACTCGTCAGAATGCCTGGTTTACGGCCTCCTCATTTGATGCGGTTTTTAATTCTTTGAGCCCTAAACCAAAATGGGTTATCATCATATCAGATAATAGCCCCATTATCATAATACAGAAATAATGCTAGTAATATCATATTGGAAGGAATGGTATGATATAGAGTGTAAAAAATGGATTTTTTTAGAGGCAGGTGAAGCGAAAACATCAATAGATAGTCATCACTCACAAGTAAGATTTTACTATATTGCCTATCTGAATGCTGCCAAGAGAAAACCTGTTATCGGGCTTTCAATTATATTTTGTGTTCAGTTTGTTTACTGGGTGCCATCTAGAAAGATTCTATCAAGCTTTCAATTATATTTTGTAATAAGTTACTAAATATAACTGAAAACCCGATGAAAGAATTTCCTAGATAGCACCTAGTAAACAAACTGAACACAAACTATAATTGAAAGCCCGATAACAAATTTTCCTTTGGCAGCACTCTCCCTCCTTTTTTTACATTTATCAATTTATATGATATATGTATAAAGATTTCCCATGCACTTAAGCATTATGTTCGTCTTAGTTTTGATATTACGTCTAGAGAAGATATCGAAAAAGCAATAGAAAATCTTAGTGGTACTTCAGTTGCTAATATAAATCCAAATCGAGCACAGCGAGCATCTATAAAAATTGGAACTATACTCGGAAATTCAGATCTTTATGAGTGGTGTTAACCAACTAAAGGTTCATCAGCTGGTTATATCTGTGCGCGTCCCTTACCTGGATTTGGTGATTGGAAAACTTGGTCTGCTATACAGTTACAAAAATAGAAAAGTTCAGAAATTGAACAACCTCAACCATGTGTATCTTAACATAGTACACCTCAAAAAAACTAGACTATGCCTATTTACCGATTATCAAGTAAAAATTATATAAATACTATTAACACATGCATATTAATGCATATTTCTGAAAAGATATACGGTATACCCTCCCAAAACTGATCCTGTCAAAACTGATAACTTGTTATACCCAATAAAAAATTGATCCACCATGTCTGGTTCATAATTCAAACCCGATAACTGATACTCAAAAGATCAGATACCTATAGATATCAGGTTTGTCAGATATTATAAATCAATTTGATTGAGCTTTGTATGACCAAGTAGATATATAATAAATATAATCTAGCTAATTATATTTATTTATAATCATATGGAAACAAAAGTTGTCCACCATATCTATCGGATGAAAGGGTATACTGTAATAGAACAGGATAAAATCTGAGTTGTGAGCAAGTAAAATCTGCTACGTAAATTGAGTAGGATAAAATCCTATACCTTTTTATTATATAAAAGATGGTCATGGCGAATTTTACTAGCTAACAATTCAGGCTTTATCCTGTCATGATATAGTTGCTAATTTAACTTACTAAATTTATAGCTTCTGATCCGAATCAATGGGATTTGTGACGATGGACAATAAAAAAACTAAAAAAAGAGTTAATGAGCAGAAATATTAGTTATGAAGAAAAAATGGATCGAGATAAACTAGTAGAACTGTTGCAAGAATATTTGTGTAAAGAAACTTTAACTAAGCCTTTAGATGATAATAGTATTGTAGAAGAAATGGAATTAGATAGGTGTTTTTTTCTTTCTTTTTTGTTAATACAATAATTTTATAAAAAAAAAACTTACTTTTATTTTTTAGTAATTTAATTCAACAATTCCCTCTTAATACCAGCTAGGCTTTTAAACATAAATATAAATATGGACGAAAGGGGGGTGGAAAACAACTATCATTAGATGTCGTTGAGATATTAAAAAGGTTTTTTATAGCAGGGCAAGAGGATCCAAGTAATCGATACTCATCAAAAGACATGTTAGCAGCTTTAAAAGAAATGGTAAAAAATGAAGAGTTAACAAAAGAAGAAATTCCTACTGAAAAGTCTATTGATAGCTGGATTAGTAGATATTCTCGAACGTTAAAACAAATGATAGCCAAAAAAATGATAGACAATGACGTAGATAGCGAGTAACAAAAAATCTAACAAATAGAGAATTGGATAATAAGAAAGAAGTCAATAAGTGAAATTATATATTTGAATATGAAATAATCTTACTCACCAAATTTTTTAGTATCTTAGATCTCATTGACAAATAATGAATATTAATTCACTTAGTAGTAACTTACTATTACATTTGCTTGAATTGGCGAATTTGAACATTGTATTAATCTAAATAGGCAAATATGATTATATAAATTATTTATCTCAAAAAACACAATATATATTTACCCTTTGTTGCTTTTTGCGATTAACAAGGTTGGTGTTTATTATTAAGATGATTACAATCTAAAACTATTCTAATTTCCTGTTACTACCTTTAGATTCTGGATTTAACTCTATAAAAATAACGAATCATTTATTTTATTGGCGGTCATAATTGTACTTGCGTAGAATTTCTATTGATACAGCATAAAAATATTTTGATTGAATTAGTCAAAATTAACATAACTAGGTCAAGTATAAAATATGAATTATTCAGTAAAAAATTTTTTAAGTAGATTTATTCACTACCACTCTTGTCTAAGTATGGTTTATTTGACAAACTAACCTCTAGTCAGATATTCCTTATCACCTTATCTTCAAATAGTCAAATTCTTTTTGCACTAGTTTAAAGTAAATTTTCTCTTATTTGTCTTGCATCTTGATATAATTTTGAATTAACATTCAATGAAGGTATGTAGGGAAATAAGCTTTCAATAAGTAACCTTTTAGTTCCTGCTATTTCTCTCTTAAACGCTCACTAATATTTTTTATTTCTGTAGGTTTTATCATATATATAACAAAAAATACAATCCAGTCTTGTTTAAGATCTTGTTATAAATATTCTAGACAAAACTATTTACTTAAAAAAAAAAAAAGAAACAACTAATAGATTTTTTCAACTCAGAATACACCTTTTTATTATTCAATTGATAAATAATACATATAATGTCCATTATATTCTGCTAATAATAAAAATTACTTAAGTTTAAAATTAATTATAGCACAGAATTAATAACCGTGCAAAGGTCTAATCTACATACAATAAAACATACCATAAATCATAAAAATTATCAGACCTTTACGAATCGCGTTGTTTAAGCTGATGCGTCATTAGCTATGTTTAGTTACAGTAAAGACTTTTAGAAATTACAGAAATAGGTAGTCAATATTTGCTAATCGATCTCAAGTAATATGAAAATAAGTCAAAGAATTGCGCTAAAGTAACTTACAGGCCAAATGTATGACTAAAGTATTTCTTTACTAGTTAAATCGGTACTGAATCGTACAGATAAAAGAATGCAGAATCTGGTGCCGCTCACTAGGAAACACCTTGTAAGTTCAAGTTAACTCACAAAATAACTATACAATAGTATTTTCTTGCTAATAGCGCTCCTGAAGAATAAATTTCAAACAAAAAGGTGGCGAATAGTCGAATGCTTACTAGAGACTATCGTTTTAGAATTTTTATCAAATTTATAGTAGATCATCAATTTTTGCCCCAAATTGTATTAATACTATTATAGTAATGATCGGCGGGTTATGAATTAAATACTTCAAAAAAAAAACTTGAACCTATTTTTGATTGACTTCATAACTTCTCTATTTCTGATGAAATAAAGTCTAATAACAAACTCCAAACTCCACTATCTAAATAACTCTTTAACTTTCTCAAAACAAATCTACATAATTTTATACTAGAAAAAGAAATTAAGCCAGAAACTAAAAAAAAAAGCATTTAAAGCTAGCTTCTATTAAATCATTAGAAATATGGCTAGATATGATCTAAATTTTTAACTGATTTAATTTTTCAAAGCAATCTAAACATTGACAAAAATGCAACAATTCTATTTGATATTTTGGAATCAATAATGAAAAAACTTATTCATAAGTTTACAATAATTCTATTTACTAAACTTAACTATGCTGAGATTTTTGTATCACCTTATACAATTCTCTATATAAAACTAATAGTAGACTCTAGTTTTGTATGAATCATACTAGAATTCACTTTCACCTCTCTGGAAAATACCAACAAGCATTAAACTACACAAAGTTTACAGAAGACTTTAATCTCCATTCTATGAGATTCACTATATCTTCTGTAATTAATGTATTTGATCAAGAGAGAAAATATCTTATAATTAAACAGGACAAAAAATTTAACATAACCCTTTTCTTCAATATTCCAAAAATATAATTTTTAGAGAAATTTAATATTTCTTTTCTAAAAAACTTCTTAGAATACTTTGAAAACTAGTCTGAAAAATTCTTCCTAATTTACAATCGACAATTTGATAAACTACTAAACAAAACAAAAGTGCATAATGTACTTAAACACCAATTTCATTTACAATTTATCAAACAACTAATTCTGCTTCTCCCAACAGAATATGAAATAGTTGAACCTCAATCCTTTAATAACAGAAGAACTGAAAGTATTAAATGTTCTAATTATCATATTTTAACCTGCAAGGATGAGGCTTGTATCTTTTTAGTTGAAGGAAAGCATGACTTTTCAACACTTCTTAAAAGATATATAGACTATTCTTATAAGCTATTTCCTAAAAAAGATGTGAAATCTAGAAAGAACCTACTTTTAAAATTGAAATATTTGAATATGAACAGGAACATAAAGTATCATTTTCTAAACTAGTCCCAACTCAACTTTTCGATCAACTTGCAAATGAAGCTAAAAAGGAAGCCTATAAACTCAACAAAGTAGAAACTAATACTAAACATAGAAGTTTTTATTTTTACTAATATCTTAACTCCTACCACCATGAAGCAGCAGTAAACTTTGAAATTATTGATCTGTTAAGAGATCAAGAAATTGAATTTATATGCACTAAAACACTTAATATATTTATATTAGCTCGAATCTTAACATATTTTAATATAATTTAAGATATAAACTCTACATATCTACAAATAGTTAAATTCTTTTCTGAACAAGCATTTTCTTATACTGAAAAATATCTTAAAGAAAAATATAACATAAACTTCTAAGAACCCACAAACTTAGAAGATTCTCTGTTTCTTTTAGAAACTTCTTTTCAATAAGGTCTTCTATATACATAGATGCAACTACTGCCTCTAATTTGAAACCTCATCTTACTAATAATAGTAAGCTAAATCTAGATGAGAATGA